CGGGGTCAGTCCGGGGTCAGTCCGGGGTCAGTCCGGGGTCAGTCCGGGGTCAGTCCGGGGTCCGGGGTCAGTCCGGGGTCAGTCCGGGGTCAGTCCGGGGTCAGTCCGGGGTCAGTCCGGGGTCAGTCCGGGGTCAGTCCCGGGTCAGTCCGGGGTCAGTCCGGGGTCAGTCCGGGGTCAGTCCCGGGTTATATGGGGTCAGTCCGGGGTCAGTCCGGGGTCAGTCCGGTCCGGGGTCAGTCCGGGGTCAGTCCGGGACCAGTCCGGGGCCAGTCCGGGGCCAGTCCGGGCCAGTCCGGGGTCAGTCCGGGGTCAGTCCGTCCGGGGTCAGTCCGGGGTCAATCCGGGGTCAGTCCGTCCGGGGTCAGTCCGGGGTCGGTCAGTCCGGGGTCAGTCCGGGGTCAGTCCGGGGTCAGTCCGGGGTCAGTCCGGGGTCAGTCCGGGGGTCAGTCCCGGGTCAGTCCCGGGTCAGTCCGGGGGTCAGTCCGGGGTCAGTCCGGGGTCAGTCCGGGGTCAGTCCGGGGTCGGTCCCGGGTCAGTCCGGGGGTCAGTCCGGGGTCTGTCTGGGGTCAGTCCGGGGTCAGTCCGGGGTCAGTCCGGGGTCAGTCCGGGGTCAGTCCGGGGTCAGTCCGAGCTCCGCGCGGGGTCCGTATGGGCCGGGGTCAGTCCGGGGTTGGGTCGGATCCGGGGTTTGCCTGAGGTCTGTCCAGGGTCTGTCCGGGGTCAGTCTGGGACCAGCCTGGGTCAGTCCCGGAGTGACCTGCAGGATTGACCGTGCAGACCGACCCTTTGAATGACCCGTGTGTATATAGAGCCTGGTCGGATCGAATTCGACGCAGCCGAGCCGACCGCCACATTAGGTGCACGCGTATGTGGGAGCGCCCGAATGGCAAGGAGAGCGGAGAGTATTTTAATGCATGGGAAATGAAAATGCAAGCGGGCCGATCTAGTTTTCGGAATTGCAGAAGTCGGGGACCGAAACTTCCGATCTAGTTTAGCCGAGACCTAGTTTCACCGATTCTATTTTTAACGAGCGGAGTGTAAGCTATCATTCACTCGTGCTTTGGGGCCGCGCTGCCAGCATCGGGGTGCGGGCGGCGTGCTTGCCTAGCGTGGTAGAGGTGAGCACGTTTGAGCAGTGTTCGGTGCCAGCTTGGACGACGTGGACGAGCATGTTTAGGTGACGTCGTGGACACGACGCTGGAGGGAAGAAACAAGGGGGAGCGGAGCGAAAGATCTAATGACATTCGCTTCACAGTTGGAGCTTGGGCGCGAACTGAGTTCGCGTGGACGCGGCACTTCGAGTCCAATACTTTGGCTGAGGGTTCTCATCGGGGCCATCTGATTAGGTGTTGCACCTGTTTAGTTGCTCGCATGTTTGCGCTTGGATGCTAGTGAGGACATGTGCCGAGCTGTCAGGAGGTTGTACAAGTGTGCAGACGCGAGCGTGCTGGAGGCTTGAGCGGGAAGGCCTTCCCGGACGAGCGTTGGCAGTATCGCTTCGTGCCCTCGCTTCGCTCCCGATGCACGACTTGCCCCTTCCTGCCGTCCGCCTTCCTCCAAGGACTCCTGGTGCCCTGCGCTGCTTCTTCCCCAGCCCAGCCCGTCCGTGCTTCCACATAGCGAGGACGTGGGGATCGCCAAGAGCGGAGCGGCGAAGGACACCTTCGAGCCTGGCATGCGGCTGCTCGGGAAGCAGACCATATTGACAGAGGGTTGGGCCGGGGACACTGTGATCTTAGCCCACTTGGCGGGCGTCGAGACAGACCTCGGACGATCCTTCCCCTCCAATCCGTGCCATGTAGATGGCGGCAGCTTCAAACATGCATGCGAAAGGAATGGGAGGGTCTCAAAGAAGTGATCATGCATCGCGAGCCGCGCACACGCCGCATGCGGCATTGCAGGATTCAGCGGGGACCTTTCAAAGGGCCACGCGCCTTAGTCGGCCCACGCAGGCGCGGACAGCAGAGTGTGGCCCAGCCAGGGCTGACAGAAGCTCAGAACCAAAGCAGGCACCTGCCGCAGATGCATGGGCCACTCTCCAGGAACGGCCACGCCTCTGAGAAATCGAGGAACTGTCTTCGCTTCCTCGGCGGGCGGCGTGCGGAAGGCGGTATACGTAAAAGGCCATCGTGAGGCGGCTGAAGTAACATTGAGGCGTCAACGTGTTTTGGTTCGGGGTTGCCGGAGTCGGTCACACGTTTGCCCTAGACGAGGAGGCAACCCCGACCCATCAGGAGCCCTTGTGGAGTGACTCAGATACGCCCTGGCCTCTGCAAGGGCCCGAGGCGTGCGCCAGGTGCTGTTACTGTCAAGAGCGTGCTGTCTTGTTTTTACGTCGCCATAGCCAAGAGGGAGAGAGAGCGAGAGAGAGAGAGAGAGAGAACAAACAATGACACGTATACATAGATATACATTATATATAGAGAGAAGAGAAAATATAGAGAACTAGAGAAATAGAGCGAGAGAGAGAGAAGAGAGAGCGAGAGGACATCGTCGCAGGCGCATCTGCCTTTGATCCTGGTGGGCAGCGGAAGCGTTAGCCGTGGGGTCGCCACTCTCTTTTTGAGAGCCGTGAGCTCCGGGAGCCCATCCGCCCACGTCCCAGGCCCCAACCCGCTCGCGGGGACCCTGGCCAGCCCGCGCTGACTCTTGGGAGAGTGGGCACGGCAGGTTCGCGTCGTGTCGACCGGCGGCGACCCCAGCACATTCGTTTGAGGTTGAACGCCGCCCGTGGCCCAGAATCGGCCTTTCGTGGAACGATCCGGCGTTCATGGAACGGCCGATCGCCCAAGCTTGACCGATCCACGCGGTTTCAGGAACCAACGTCGGGGTCGACACGACGCGAACCTGCTGTATGCTGGTTGCGTGAGAATCGGCCCCGAACCAAAATTAACCTGCGAGGCACCCAACCCTTGGTAAACATGCGGCGTCTGTGCCCAGGACTTTTTCGGATACGAGCTAGCATGTTGAAGGACCCGCCACGCGCAGGAGCATCCAGAAGGGAACCCAGAAGATCGCGATCGGAGCGTCACGGCAAGCATTTGCAGTCGCGACGTGGCAGAACCGCTCCGCTCGCGCGTGGAGCAACCCCGGCTCCGGCGCTGCGAGTTGTCCCGCGTGCAAGAGAGGGGGGAGCCAGAAGGGGGCGGCCGCAGAGGGGAGGGAGGGGGGGGAGGAGGAGGAGGAGGAGGAGGAGGAGGAGGAGGAGGAGGAGGAGGAGGAGGAGGGGAGGAGGAGGAGAGGAGGAGGAGGAGGAGGAGGAGGAGGAGGAGGAGGAGGAGGAGGAGGAGGAGGAGGAGGAGGAGGTGGAGGGAGGAGGAGGAGGAGGAGGAGGAGGAGGAGGAGGAGGAGGAGGAGGAGGAGGAGGAGGAGGGAGGAGGAGGAGGGGAGGAGGAGGAGGAGGAGGAGAGGAGGAGGTGGAGGAGGAGGAGGAGGAGGAGGAGGAGGAGGAGGAGGAGGAGGAGGAGGAGCGGGGCGGCCGGGCTGCGGGGCAGCCCCTGGCAGTGGCGCGGGGCGGCGTCGCGGGCGCACCCAGGGGCGGGGCCAGCAGACGCAGCGCGGGCGGAACCCGGCTAAAGCGAAGGGGCGGGAGCAGCGGGCGGCAGGCGGACCGGGCGCCCGGGCGGGGGTGCCCAGGGGGCGGCCGCGGGGGCGCGCGGCGGCGGGCCGAGCGCGTCGGCGCGGTGCGGCGGGCGCCGAGGCAGTCTCGCCAGGGAGCGCGCCGGCGCGGCAGTGCAGGGCGGGCGGCAGGGCCGCAGAGCGCCACCCTATAGGCAGTGCTGGGCGGTGCAGGCCGGCGGGGGGCCGGGGGGGGAGGAGAGGCCGGCAACTGGGGCGCGTGGCGTGGCGGGCTGGGCATGCCACAGCGCGGCGCGGCGGGCGCCGAGGCGGGCGCCGGTGGGCGAGGCGGCGCTGCAGTGCAGGGCGGGTGGTGGGGTTGAGCAGCGCCACGAGGCAGCCGGGCACTGCAGGCAGGGCGGGGTTAAGGAGGAAGGGGCGGAGAAGCGAAGCCACCCCAGGGCCAGCGCACGCCTCACAGCCAGGGAGCGGGCGGCGCCCACTGCAAGTGACGCACGGGCGTGGGCCCCAAACGGGGGGAGGCAGAAGCGGGAGGGCCAACGCTGCGGCACGGAGGAGCGCCGCCAGCGTTGGAGGAGGGGAGCAGCCCGCGGCCAGAGAGGCTCCGGGATGTGGGTAGAGGCCCCCGAACGCGCGAGACGCCACACTTGGGGGGGGCTGCTGCGCCAGCGCGTTGGGGAACGCGACCTTGAGGGCAGCGCGATCTGCAAACCAAACGTGTATTGGCCAGCAGGCAGCGGGCGGGCAGGGGCGCTTCGCTGGGGCATGCCGGGCACACCTGGCAAGGGGGTGGGGGGACGATACGCCCGCAGGGGAGCACCTAACTGGCGCGCAGGCAGGTGGGAAAGAGGGGCCGGCCCGGATGGCCGGGCGGCCGGGCGCGCCATCAGGGGTGGATGGCGCGGCTGGGGTTCGGTGGCAGGCGCACCGCCGGAGGTGGGGTGGAAGGCGCCACGCGGTCATGTCGGCCGTCACATATCAGGTAAGTCAGGAAATTCCTAATTGGTGCGCTGACGCGTGGAAGGGGTGCGGGCGCCTCCTGGGGTGGAAGGCGCCACGCGGTTGTCGGTCGTCGGAACCAGGTGCGTCGGGAAACAAGTAACTGGTGCGCAGGCAAATGGGGAGAGCGCGGGCGTCTCCAGGGATGGAAGACGCGACGCAGTCGTCATAGGCAAGGCTGGCCGCCATCGCGCTGAAGGGAGGCCGTCTGAGCCCGTCCGCTGCAGGGCCCCGGTCGCGTGTCGTCCCTGAAGCCCTCACAGCCGGGACTGGCCGCCAGCGGGCCAAGTAGGTTCACTGGGCCGCTTACCCCCGTGTCCCTTCCCGGCCGCCCGGCTCTGGCGGCCCTGTTGCTGTTGCCACGCCGCCTTCCAATCGACGTCCAAGTTGTGGTTCGAACACAGGGCGTGGACGTCGTAGTTGGTCTGGGCCAGTTCACCCAGGAAGTCGTGGCTGAAGTCGTCGCAGCCGCAGGAAAGGCCTCCGTGGCCACTGTGTCGTACTGCGCGGCGCAGTGGTCGCCGTCTCCAGGCGGGCGGTCGTTGACAGGCACCGGGCGCAAGGATGTCAGGGTCGCCTCAGCGACGATTTGGTCCACGGGGTCCCCGGGTGGTGTGCCTCTCCAGGAGAGCCACGCCATGTGGGTGTTGTTGCTGGGCCCGTCCCAGATCGTCAGCCAAAACGCATTCACGCGCACGCATGGGTGCTATCCTCTGCGCGCCCCCTCGACTGGACCTGGGGCCCGCCCCCGGCCAGGGCCAGGCGACAGCCGCTCCCCGTTTTCATCGGCCCGCGTGTGCCAGCAGGCAGCCCCGTGGTCGCCCGCGTCGTTCATGTTGACGATGCAGGCACCCAGTGGGATGGAGGGGGGGGACCCTGGCGGAGCCCTGAGCTGCTGGGCTTCACCACAGGGATGTGCCCCTCACGTGTTGTGCGGCCGCTGGTCCGGGGCGCACCGTCGTCGGAGCGAGGAGCCCGCTCGTCAGGTTGGTCGCCGGGCGAAGGCGGGGACGGCACGCTGGCTTCGCGGGGCTCACCGCGTCCCAGTCCGGGTCTGCTGACGCGGGGCCGGTCTCTTCTGGCCTGGCGCCCCAGGCCGCGTGCCCTTTCTCGGCGCCTGCTGCGTGGTGCGTTTCACTCACAACATCTCGCACAGCCTTTGTGAGCAGTCGCCCCAGTGGCCATTGTGGTGAGGCCGTCGAGGTCAAGAGAAAGCGGGGCTGGTCTCGTCGTCCCCCGGTTCCGGGCTCTGGCTGGCTGGCTCGACCGCCCGCGTGGCAAGTCTTCGGGGGGGTCTGGTCGCTGCCCTCTCTGGGCGGACCGTTGCGCAGCTCTGCTGTCGATGCATCGGGGGGGGCGTGGGCCAGTCCTGCGCCGCGCGTCTGCCGTGCCCCCGCCACAGGACGCGAGAGTGGACTTACAAGGCAATTCAAAAACGAACGGAGGTAAGGTTCTACGCTACGCCAACATCGTGTGCCACGACGATGCCTTTCTTACCCCACAAGGGGGGGCTGCCCTGTAGACTGGGATCAACTCACAAGCAAGCGTACCACGCGTGGCTCTGGGATGGCACCTGGACTGTCCTCGGTCTGCTCTGGCGGCGCCGATTTGCCCGAGGGCGCTCCAGGATGCGTGCCCTCGGGCCCGTGGCGGTTGGCCAGCTCGGCTGTACTCGCGTGGCGAATGTCTTGGCTGTCGAGGAAGGCGGCCAGTGTCGTGGCGTCGTACGGGAGCGGGTCTGTGTCCTCGAAGGGGGTGTTGCTTCCCAGGAGGGCCTCCCAGGCGGGCCGTAGGTTGTCGTCTCTGGCCCCACCTCTGTGCCGGCCCCTGGTCAAGGTTCCCCAGGCGAGGGTGTCCGCCGGGGCCGCTCGTCTCCGTCGACGGAGACGAGCGGCCCCGGCGGACAAAGTATCTCTCGGATCCGAGGGATACTTGTCCGGCATCCCGCTTGTAGGGACCACGCCCCCGTAGATCAAGGCCAGGAAGTCGAGACTCTCGCTGCGAGCCCAGCACCTTGCGTCCACTGTGCGGTCACGGCATCTACCTGGTTCATTGGTACGCCGCTCCTCGACGAAGCCACGCCATGCCTCGTCGACGTTGCGGTGGAGCTTGCGGGCGTAGCCTGTCGCGATGTGGGCGACGTCCAGGCCATGCTGGTTGCGCCTCGTGGCAGGGCGAACCTCGTCGGAAGCTGCTAGGGAGGCTGCCGTGCGGCACGGCAGGTCCGGACAGGCCGGGGGCGGCAGCGGCGCGAGGTCGGCCGGCACCGAGCCGGGCTTTGCTGGCCCGGCGGGCAGGGGAGGGAGCGCGCAGCTCGTGGGCAGTGTCGGGGGGCTGGTGCGCCGGCCAGGGTGCACCGGGCCGTAGGAGAGGGCACGCCCGCAGCGTGTCATGTCCGAGCGTGCGCAGGAGACTGGCAAGCGCTTCGACGCTCATCCACATGGGTGCCTCGGCGACACCACCGGGGAGGGCCGGGGCGTATTCGTCCCAGGCCCTTCGTTGCCTCCCAGCCAGTCCAATCGCCCATTCGACCAGGTGTGCGCACGTATCTGAACTGCAAGCATGTCTCCTCCCATGTCCACTCGTCCAAATCCAGCTGCCCAGCGTTGAGCACCGCGCCGCTCTCCCACAGGGCCGCGAGAAAGTTCGCCGGGTGGTCTGTGCTCGTGGCTGTCGGCGCTGCATTGTCGCTGTCCTCGTCCAGGTTCCCAGCGCAGAAATTGACCCGGTGCAGATTCACCGAGGAGCCACAGCTGCACCTGACGTGCGCGACCAGGCCCAGCAGCTCCTGGCGCGTTCGTTCGCTGAGTCGGCGGTCCTGGAGCTCGGGCAGAGGTGGCGGCAGGCCGATGTCGGGCAGAGCGGGCGTTCAGGCGCCGTCGTGGAACCACTTCCCAAGGGCTTCCGTCTCCAGCTGAGGAAGTGGGGCCCCACTGGTCTCGCTGCACGTGCCCCTCGGGGCCCGGCCCGCGTCGAGAACTGCCAGCCCTCGCCGGGCCACTCCAGGCGGCGCTCTTCGGGCGGCAGGAGGGCTGTCGGCGTCCTCCTCCGTGGCGCAGGGCCAGAGTGGCGTCGCCGGTAGGAGCCTGTCTTGGCCCGCGCGCGGCCAGCCTTGTCGGCCCGTCGCCCCTGGGGTTCCCCAGAGTTCCCTCGGTGCGAGGGGAGTAACTGCAGCACACACACACACGCACACATTCACACACACGCCACCACACACACATTCACACACACAACCACACACATTCACACACATCCACACACACAGTCACACACATTCACACACATTCACACACATTCACACACGTCCACACACACACACGCACACACACACACACACGCACACACACACACGCACACACACAGACACACACAGACACACACAGACGCACGCACGCACGCACGCACGCACGCCGACGCACGCACGCACGCACGCACACACACCACACCACACCACACCACACCACACCACACCACACCACAACACATCACAAAACAACACAACACAACACAACAGAACAGAACAGAACACAACACACCACACCACACCACACTACACTACAATACAATACAATACAAGACAATACAGTACAATACAATCAAACACAATACAATACAATCAATATAGTACAATACAATACAATACAATGCAATACAACACAACACAACACAAAACAATCCAACACATAACAATACAATACAATACAATACAATACAATACAATACAATACAATACAATACAACACAACGCAAAACAATGCAATGCCATGCAATGCAATACAACACAACACATTACAATACAATACAATCCAGGACAATACAATACAATGCAATACAGTACAACACAGCACAACACAGCACAACACATTTCAATACAGGCAATGCAATACAGTACAACACAACACAACACAATACAACACAACGCAAGAGAAGACAAGACAATACAAGACAAGACAAGACAATACAAGACAAGACAAGACAGGACAATACAACACAACACAACACAACACAACACAACACAACACAACACAACACAACACAACACAACACAACACCACCACACCACACCACACCACACCACACCACACCACACCACACCACACCACACCACACCACACCACACCACACCACACCACACCACACCACACCACACACACACACACACTCACACACACAAGTGGAAGCACAACGCCCCAAGGGGAGCCAGGAGGTCTCGGCTGGATCTGCGTACCACTCCATTCCGCGGGACCTCCCAGGAGCGAGCGAACGTGGCGACAGTTTCGCACTTTGCAGTCACCCAGGGAGACGCGAAGTCTCGGCTGGACCTGCGTACCACTCCACTCCGCTGGAGCGAACGTGGCGACAGTTCCGCACATCGCAGCCCCTGGGGAGCCGCGAGGTCTCGGCTGCATCTGTGTACCACTCCACTCCGCGGGACCTCCCCGGAGCTCACCAAAGTGGCGACAGTTTCGCACTTCGCCCCCCCCAAGAAGCCGCGAAGTCTCGGCTGGACCTGCGTACCACTCCACTCCGCTGGACCTCCCAGCAGCTCACCAAAGTGGCGCCAGTTGCGCATTTCGCAGCCCCCCAGGGAGCCGCGAGGCCTCAGCTACATCTAGGAGCTCACGAAACTGGCGACAGTTCCGCACATCGCAGCCCCCCAGGGAGCCGCGAGTCTCGGCTGGATCAGCGTGGGACCTCCCAGGAGCTCGCGACAGTGGCGACAGTTTCGCACTTCGCAGTCCCCCAGGGAGCCGCGAGGTTTCGGCTGGACCTGCGTACCCCTCCGCTCCGCGGGGCATCTCAGGAGCTCACCAAAGTGGCGACACTTCGCATCCCGCACCGCAGGGAGACGCGAGGACTCCGCTGGATCTGCGTACCACCGCTGGACCATCCAGGAGCTCACGTCCGTGGCGACAGTTCCGCAAATCGCAGCCCCCCCAGGGAGCTGCGAGGTCTCGGCTGCATCTGCATACAACCCCACTCCGCTGGACCTTCCAGAAGCTCACGTCCGTGGCGACAGTTTCGTTCTTCGCAGCCCTCCAGAGAGCCGCGAGGTCTCGGCTGGACCTGCGTACCACTCCACTCCACTGGACCTTTCGGGAGCTCACGTCCGTGGCGACAGTTTCGTTCTTGGCAGCCCTCCAGGGAGCCGCGAGGTCTCGGCTGCATCTTCGTACCACTCCACTCCGCTGGACCTCCCCGGAGCTCACGAACGTGGCGACAGCTCCGCACTTCGCATGCCCCCAGGGAGCACGTGGGCGCCTGGGGACCGCCGGTTGGACGGCGTGTCGCACGGAAGCGTGGTGGGCCAGGGCCAGCGGAGCGACACGCTGACCAAAAGTTCTCGACCACTCTCGCGCAGCGAGAGGCAGAGCATCGAGCACCGTCGGGTGACAGACCGTCCGACGGCCTCGACGACCCCCAAAGAAGTCGCGGGGCGGTCCATCCCCCGCGGGGTGCTGGGGCCTGGTAGTGGCGCAATGGTCTCCCGAGACTTCTCGGCCGATGATCCTCAGGACGTGTATTAGCTCAGTGTGTGTGTGTGCGTGTGTGTGTGTGCGTGTGGGTGTGGGTGTGTGTGTGTGTGTGTGTGTCTGTTTGTGTGTGTGTGTGTGCGTGTGCGTGCTTGTCTCCGTGTGTGTTTTTCCTGGCCAGCTCCGCCAGTAGCACGAAGCTCGTGTCGGGCCTCGTGCCGCCGCCCGCGCCGTATCGCAGGGCTTCGGTGGAGAGCACACGCGTTGGCGTTCCACGCTCTGCTCCGACTCGCGTGAGGTCGCCTGACCGTGTCTGGCCCCCCGTGAGCGCGATGAGCGCGCCGAGGTCGAGAAGGAGGAGGAGGAGGATGAGGAGGAGGAGATCTAGACCTCGCAGGTGTGGGGTCAGAGTAGATGGGGTGGAGCATCGCGCTGCCTCGCCGACGCCTCGGCGATGCAGCTCGACGTGGAGCCCAGATCGTTCCACGCCAGCGGCGCCGATGATTCGCCGACGCATCGGCGATCCATCGCCGATGCATCGGCGATGCATTGACGATGCGGCGCGATCCTTCGCCCCCATCTACCGTTTGGGAGGCCTCTGGGATTCGGGGGGCGAGAGGTGCCCGCGGTTCCATCAGCGAAGACGTCATGGCGCGCTACGGCCTCCGAGACGGAGTGTCACCACAGCACTACGGCCTCGGGGTCAAGGAGGTGTGGGAGATCCCGGAGGAGAACCACGTGGCCGGGACCGTGGTCCACACAGGAGCGGGGCATTGCTTTTTCCCACGCCATCCTGTGGTGTTGGGTCCTCGTTTTGAAGAGACGGCGCCCCACAGGGATCTCCACCGAAGGCCCCAGTGGCACCGCCCGCATGCGTCCGCCACACCCAGTACAGCGCTTCGTGGACCCATAGGGAGCTCCACAGAAGGCCACAGTGGCACCGCCCGCATGCGCCATCCCCCACCCAGTACAACGTTTCGTGGCCCCTTAGGGAGCTCCACCGAAGGCCCCAGTGGCACCGCCCGAATGCGTCACCCCCACCCAGTACATCGCTTCGTGGTCCCATAGGGAGCTCCACCGAAGGCCCCAGTGGCACCGCCCGCATGCGTCACCCCCACCCAGTACAGTGCTTCGTGGCCCCATAGGGAGCTCCACCGAAGGCCCCAGTGGCACCGCCCGAATGCGTCACCCCCACCCAGTACAGCGCTCCGTGGTCCCATAGGGAGCACACCGAAGGCCGCAGTGGCACCGCCCGCATGCGTCACCCCCTTCCCAGAGCGGCGTTTCGTGACCCCATAGGGAGCTTCTCCAGTGACACCGCCCGCATGCGTCACCCCCACCCACTACAGCGCTTCGTGGCCCCATAGGGAGCTCCACCGAAGGCTCCAGCGGCACCGCCCGCAAGCGTCACACCCACACAGTACAGCGCTTCGTGGCCGCATAGGGAGCTCCGCCGAAGGCCCCAGTGGCACCGCCCGCATGCGTCCGCCACACCCAGTACAGCGCTTCGTGGACCCATAGGGAGCTCCACAGAAGGCCACAGTGGCACCGCCCGCATGCGCCATCCCCCGCCCAGTACAGCGTTTCGTGGCCCCATAGGGAGCTCCACCGAAGGCCCCAGTGGCACCGCCCGAATGCGTCACCTCCACCCAGTACAACGCTTCGTGGCCCCATAGGGAGCTCCACCGAAGGCCCCAGTGGCACCGCCCGCATGCGTCACCCCGACCCAGTACAGCGCTCCGTGGTCCCATAGGGAGCTCCACCTAAGTCCGCAGTGGCACCGCCCGCATGCGTCACCCCCTACCCAGCGCAGCGCTTCGTGGCCTCATAGGGAGCTCCACCGAAGGCCCCAGTGGCACCGCCCGCATGCGCCACCCCGACCCAGTACAGCGCTTCGTGGCCCCATAGGGAGCTCAACGGGAGGCCCCAGTGGATGCACTCGCATGCGTCACCCCCGCCCAGTGCAGCGCTTCGTGGCCCCCCAAAGGGAGCTCCACCAGAGGCCCCAGTGGCGGTATTCTATGCATCCCCCCTCCCAGCACAGCGTTTCGTGGCCTCATGGGGAGCTGCACCGAAGGCCCCGGTGGCTGTACTCGAAAGTGTGGCCCCATAGGGAGATCTACCGAAGGCCCCCGTGGCGGCCCCATAGGGAGATGCACCGAAGACCCCTCACACTTTTCGCGGGCCCGTAGCGCGGTCCACCTAAAGCACCAGTGGCAGCGCCTACATGGCGGCCCCGCCCCACATCGGCACACCCTTCGAATGCTTCATGGCCCCGTGAGGAGATCCCCCGAAGGCGATACCCGCAACGACGGTAACTCACAACTGCATATGGTTTGGTTCTTCGCCTGTATAATTTGTTTGACCTCTGGGCGCCGTGCAAATATTACACCTCTGGCGGCAGAAGGCTCGAAGCAGCTTGTGGAGCATTCGAGGCAGGACCATAATAGAGTAGCTGCACGAGTACTTATTTACTACAGACTGCAGTGTAAAGAAACACGGGATGCAGTCGACCCGCATAGCAAGCTCGAGCGACTTTTCCGAGGGCACCCTTGCATCCTTTCCCCTTCGGCTCACCCTTTGCCGTTTCCGCTGGCTGCGCCCCGCTCGCAGAGTGTCGACATGGCCTTCTGAGGCCCCTGCACCCTTAGCGCGCATCCTTATCACACGGGTTGACTGTACCATGCGGGAGATCAAACCACGGCCAGAGACCGCGTGCCACTACCAGAGACCACGAGCGACGACACGAGACATCGACCAGGGACGACACGCCACCGGTATTGCGCAGGCCACCCATCGGCCGTAGAAGTCGCACGACGTGGAAGAGGACCCGCACAGACACGCTGTTTGGGGAAACGTGCGACGGTCTCTTGTCCCGCCTCGGGACAGGGGGCAGGGGACCCTCATCCGTCGGCCAGGATGGGCAGGAGGAAGACATGAGTGAAGTTTGGGCGTGAGTGTCTGGAGGGAGGTTCGCCACTGGTGCCTTCTCTCCCCCCCAGGGGCGTTTTCCAACAGCGGTGTTCCTGCGCAGCCCTCGTGCTCATGCTTGCCTCATGTGCTTCCTTCGCGGTGGCCGCACCTTCGTGGGACGTGGTTTGGGCGCCGATAGCCTGGAGGGAGGGCCATCGTTGGTGCACTCTTCCCCCGCTGTCGTCTTGCACCTTCGGTCTTCCGCGGCACTCGTCAAGGACGCAAAAGAAACCTCAATCGAGAGTTTGACGCAGACGACCTTGACAGACCTCACTCGTGGGGAAGGAGCGGAATGAGAAGCATCAGTAGCGGCCTCAGGAGGAGGGAGCATTCCCTCCACCTCTTTCTCCTCATCCGCCTCATCCATCCATCCATCCATCCACTCCCATAGGTGAACGTCTCCCTTGAGGTCGTTCATCTCTAACTCCACGCAGGCTCCGTGGTTTGCACTCTGGTATTTGAGCCAGGTACCGCGCTGGTGCCGCACTTGGGACACCCCGCGTCAACCGTGAGCGGTAAAATGGCTACACCCTGGCCGTGCCTACAGCAGACACCGCCCTGAGGTGGAGACCTGAAGCTGGAGATGTGTTGGTCAGCCCCTGAGCCATTCTCAGTGCCAGCTGCATGCTACGTTTTCGCGAGCGTGGCATCCGAAGATATTTTTTGTTGGGGGGGGGAGCAAGGCAAAGCATGCAGTGCTTGCCGATCATCGTCTGCGAAAGCAGATCACTACGGCGGACTCCATGCCCGCACGCTCCGAATTTTTAGGGGCCATGTCGGGTCCAGCCAGCCCGTCGCGTTCTCGAGCCGCATATCCCCACGTTGGCTGACGTGTGCTGACTTTTCAGAACGTTGGCCCCAGAGCTTCCGACCTCCTCCTCCTCCTCCTCCTCCTCGTCCTCCTCCTCCTCCTCCTCCTCCTCCTCGTCCTCCTCCTTCTCCTCCTCCTCCTCCTCCTCCTCCTCCTCCTCCTCCTCCTCCTCCTCCCCATCCCCAGGACCGCATCTTCACCGCGGATCGTAGCCGACTCTCCTCCAAGGGCCCGACGCCGGAAGACGGCTCACCGGGTCGGGGCCCCGCCTCGAGCCCACAAGCGGCGAGCACGGCTCGGGGTCGGAGCCCCCGGGGCAGAGGCAGCGCGGGGCAGCTGCGTTTGGAGTCTCGGCCCGTCCGCCCGCTCTTGGAGCTCGTCCTCGCTGGCGTCTCTCCTCGCAGGGAGAAAGCGCGTATCCTGCTGTCTACAGGCAAGGGTTCTCGGACATCTCCTCTGTGCAGGCCCCTGCTGCCGAACAAGCCCCCCCCCCCCCCAGAAAGCCGCCCCCCCTACCCCCCCTAGGGGCTAACCCCCCCTCCCGGGCCTGGATGTACCGCCTGCCGCTGGGATCGTACAAGTGGTCGCCAGAGAGGCTTGCCCACGGGATTCCTCTAGCTCAGTGCGTAGGGGATTGGCCCACTGCTCCCTCCTATGTTGCTTCAGATGATCGCAATGGCTCCCTCACAATGTTTGCCTCGACTGGTTGCAATGGCGTCCCCTGCTTTTGCAATCGCTTCATCTGTTATTGCATTGGCTTCCCCTGCTATTGTAATGGCTTCCTGCGGCTATTCCAATTGAGTCCCAGCAATCGTCCAACAATCGTCAGATGGTAGAGGAGAGCAGGGTAGACGAGTGGATCAGCAGAGCAAGGCCGAGTAGAGTAGAGTTGAGAAGAGAAGGGTAGGGTAGGCTCGAGTACAGCAGAGTCGAGTAGAGTAGGGTAGATAGTAGATGGTAGATCGTTGAGTCGGGTCGAATCAAGTACAGTCGAGTAGATCGGAGTGCCAGCTTGCTAGTTTTTCAACTTTTTAGCCCCGTGGTTCCGCCCCGCTCCTGCTCCTCCCTCACCTTCTTGCTTCCGTCTCACGTGCGACAGAATTCTGTGCAGTTTGCTATTCGCCGCGTGGCCGCCTGGGCTGCAATTCGCTTTTTCTGTGTTGTGCGCTGTTCTTACGACTGTCGTTGTGTGACGCCTAATTAACTGATGGCAGCCCCCCTCGCCTTGCTTCTCCTCCGACTCCTCTCCCGCATCATCCCACTTGTGACCGGCTGGCATCACATAGAATCCTCCTGTGCAGCTTCGGCCTTCACCACTTTCGGTTGGAGTTGCGGATCTTTTTCGCGATCTCGTTTCACGTGGTCCCCCATGCGAACGTTGCCCGCGCGATCTAAAACCATGCCTATCTTGCGGAGCATTAAACCAATGATAGTATAGTCGGTTATCGTAGAATAGATTCGGGTAGGGAATGGTAGGACCAGTAGGTTAGAGCAGAGCATAATACTGCCGAGAAGGGTAAATGGTTCAGCAGAGTCGGGTAGGCAGAGTCGAGTCCGATATCGTTGAGCAGAATAGGCAGTAGAGGAGGGCAGATCACAGTAGAGCAGAGTGGGAGTAGAGTCGCATAAGGTAGGAGTAGAGTGGAGTATACAAGACTAGGGTAGGGTAGAGCAGAGTAGAGCAATCACCCGAGATGTACCCAGACCCTTCTCCACGAAAGGTGAATATTTGCATGAAAGCTCCATACAAGGACATCGCCAGCTCTGCACGATCTGCGCTCGGGGGGAAACACGCATCTGGGTGGCGACCCCCCCCGGGATTCCCCTGGGACCCCCCCGGCCCCCCCCCCCCTGGGATCCCCCTGCAGGACCCCCTCAGGCCCCCCCCCCCCAGCGCGGGGAAGGCATCAAAGAGAAGGGGTTCCCTTCGACTCCACTCCGATGTTGTTCACCTTTGCTTTGGACGGCGCGTATGAGGAAGAGGGCCCAGGCAAATGGAACAGAGGAGGACGGAGACGACGACTCGAACGAAAAGCCCGACTCGAACGGAAAAGCCCCTCGCACACGCCGACAGGGTCGGCGGATTTGCATGACAGCTCCTAACACAAGAACACATCGCCAGATAGCACGATCTGCGCTGCCCTCATCTCCGCCGTGCCTCCCACGAGCCTACGAACGTGGCGACGATTGCGCACTCCGTAGCCGCCCAGGGAGCTGCGAGGACTCGGCTGGATCCGCGTGGCCCCCGACTCTGCTGGATCTCCCCTGAGCCCACGAAAGTGGCTCCAGTTGCGCAGTTCGCAGCCTCCTTGGGAGCAGCGAGGTCCCGACTGGGAGCGCGTGGCCCTTGACTCCGCTGGACCTCGAAGGAGCTCGCAAAAGTGTCGCCAGTTGCGCAGTTCGCAGCCACCCAGGGAGCAGCGAGGTTTCAAATGGGTGCCCGTGGCCCCAGCTCCACTGGACCTCCCAGTTGCCCACGAAAGTGGTGACAGTTGCGCGTCTCGCAGCCAAGCAGGGATCTGAGAGGTCCCTTCTGGGTGCGCGTGACCCTTGACTCAGCTGGACATCCCATGAGCCCAGGACCGCGGCGACAATTGCGCAGTTCGCAGCCACCCAGGGAGGAGCGAGGTCTCATCTGGGTACGCGTGGCCCCCAACTCCATTGGACATCCCAGGAGCCCACGAACTTGGCGCCAGTTACGCCGTTCTCAGCCACCGAGGGGTCAGCGAGTTCTCAAACGGGTGCGCGTGCCCCCCGAATCCGCTGGACCTCCTGAGAGCCCATGAAAGTTGCGCCAGTTGCGCAGTTCGCAGCCACCAAGGAGGCTGCGAGGTCTCGGCTGGATGCGCGTGGCCCCTTACACAGCTGGACCTCCCAGGAGCCCACGAACGTGTCGCCAGTTGCCTAGCTCGCAGCCGCCCAGGGAGCAGCAAGGTGTCGGCAGTATGCGCGTACTGCCCGACCCCGCCATGCCTCCCAGGAGCGCACGAAAGTGGCGCCAGTTGCGCAATTTGCAGCCATCCAGGGTGCTGCGAGGTTCCGTCTGGATCCGCGTACTCCGCTACTCCGCAGTGCCTCCCAGGATCGCACGAAAGTGGCGCCAGTTGCGCAGCTCGCAGACCCCCAGGGAGTTGCGAGGTCCCGCCTGGGTCCGCGTACTCCGTGACCTCGCCGTGCCTCCCAGGAGCCCACGACAGTGACGACAGGTGCGCAGTTCGCAGCCACCCAGGGAGCTTGGAGGTCCCGCCTGGGTCCGCGTGCTCCGCGACTCCGCCATGCCTCACAGAAGCCCACGAAAGTGACGACAGGTGCGCAGTTCGCAGCTACCCAGGGAGCTGCGATATCCCGTCTAGGTCCGCGTACTCCGTGACCCCGCCGTGCCTCCCAGGAACCCACGACCGCGGCGACAGTTGCGCAGCTCGCAGCCACCCAGGGAGCTGCGAGGTTCCGTCTGGATCCGCGTGCCCGGCGTACCCTGCTACTCAGCCATGCCAGGAGCCCACGAACGTGGCGGCAGTTGCGCAGCCCACGTGCCCAGGGAGCTGCGAGGTCCCGTCTAGGTCCGCGTGCTCCGCTACTCCGCCGGTCCTCCCAGGAGCCTGCGGAAGTGGCGACCGCTACGCAGTTCGCAGGTCACCCAGGGAGCTGCGAGGTCCCGCCCAGGTCTGCGTAATCCGCTGCCTTCCAGGAGCCCACGAACGTGGCGCAGGGAGAGGCAGGCGGAGGGGGGAGGAGGAGGAGACGCGCGAGCAGCGCTCTGTCCAAAACGAGGACCTGGCACGGGAAGGTTGAGAAATACGGCAGGAGGTAGGAGGCAGGCAGGAAGGAGGCGCAGGATGGCGGGAGGAGTCGCGACCGCAGGATGGTGGAAGGAGGAGCAGGATGGTGGAAGGAGGAGCAGGATGGTGGAAGGAGAACTTGACACAGGACGGTTGGGAATCAAGTAGAGTAGAGTAGAGTAGAGTAGGGTCGGGTAGGGTAGATCGTACCAGTTTAGAGTAGGTCAGATCAGAGTGGAGAAGAGTAGAGTAGGGTACATGGTAGAGTAGAGTCGGGCATATTAGAGTAGAGTAGAGTCGAATGGAGTAGAGTCCAGTACAGTCCAGTCTAGTTTACTTTAGTTCAGTCGATTCCACTTTGACTCCGTCACCTGATCGATTTGGAGTCTGCGCCAGCTGATATACAGGTTAGTCTACCTCATCGCTCAGTTCCCAAATTAACTTATACGATTCCAGCCAAACTGGTATTCCTCCGCCCTGTCATTATTACTGAATAGTAATAATATGCGAACGCACGCGTTCATCTCAAAATGTAATGTGGCAAAGTATGGCACCGAGTCCACCCGCGCGCGCACATGTCAAACTCATACCAGCCTCCTTCATTCTGGTGCAAGCAGTTCAGCATCATTTATTCGAAACGCCGCAGGTGTGCCCTCACGACTGCTGCAGATGATCTGTCCGCGCGTCATGTGCTGGCGTCGAGGGGAACCTATAGGTTTCCGCACTTCTGTTCGGAACCCGCTCTTTTCACTTCACCGCGTGGAGCATCAGCGTTGGTCCAGCATGCGCCCGGTGCGCGAAGCCGTATCACATCTTACCGTTCGGGCGGCCACGCGCGCGCCGCCGCGCGCGCATTGCCGAGCTCCGTTCAGAACCGTTCTGGCCTTCGAGGCATTTCAAGGCAGAGCCTTTCAGACACATCTGCGAAGCCATGTGCTGTTGAACATGCCAGAGTTCTTGAAGGTGTGCACGCGCGCACGTCTCCACCACCATCCACATTAGCTCTGTCGCATCACCGCCGTCATCGTCATCGTTGATCACCGCCACGGCCGCCATCGTCTGTAGAACCAGCTCCATCACCGACACATGGACACCATCATCGTCGTCATCGTCACCAGCATCGGTGCCGTCATTGGCCTTGACGTCGGCATCGTCGTCGTCGCCACTACCACCACCGTCGCCGTTGTCGGCGTCATCATGACACCCTGCCCGCTGGAGTCACCAATCCGCACTTGCGTGCCCGCGCGCCAGCGCTGCTTGTGAGAGACACGTTGGGAAGCTTCCATCCGTGAGCGCCACCGCGGCCGCATCCGTTGTGCCAATCGAGCTTGCCGCCCAACGCACGAGCGGTCGCGCGCCGGCGCGGCCGCACGGACGCGCTGGCAAGCGCCAAGCGGCAACCGCAATCGTGGCCACATGGCTTTTGCCAAGCGAGATGCTTGGCATCGCTCGGACGTGGGCATTTTTCCTCCGGCGAGGACCATCGAGGAGCATCCTTGATCATTTGGCAAAAAAACCACGCACGACCCCCCCAAAAAAAACACAGGGAATGGACGTCCGAGCGATGGCCAGGATGCGGGCGGGAGGGCGGGATGATTGCTCGAGCAGTGGAGTTGACAATCCACGAGTTGACAGAAATTAATGTCATTATAGGTTTCACCATCCAGAGGCGTCGCCACAGGGGCACCATAGAGTGGCTTGGTCGCTGTGCCATCTCGGCATGTGTGAGAGACTACGACGAAAAGAGGGCCCCGGCTTCTTCAACGAAGAAGTGCGTCATACATGCTGCCCTTGATTACACCAGGATGGACGTACACCAAAGGCAGAAAGGCACAGCGAGGACTCAAACACGCAAGGCACCAGCGCTTTCCTCTGGCACGACCACACAGTAGACACATCGTAAAATATCTTGGCATAAGAAAATACAGGGGCACGCTGGTCATCGAGCTTTGAAATTCCTGATGTGCTGCAGGGCTGCTGTGTGCCCGCAGGTCCATCGGGGGATTAGAGATCTCTGTGTGACACCTGCTGGCAGGCCGTTTTTCTATCTGACGTGCCCATTATTTTTGCCGTTCAGAGCGAGGCAGTATTTCTACATGAGTCGCATGTGGAATTGCATTCGTGTTAGCGCTACGTTCGCCAGATCACCCACTCGCCCTCCCGACCTCCTCACCTCCATCCCGAACACCCAGGCCCTGCCTAGAGGAAGAGACCGCCCTCCATGGGTGCTCCCGCTGGATGAATCCCAATTCATATTGCAATGGGCACCGGGGGACATCTATGATTGGCTGAGGAGGTGTCCCTAGAAGTCTTCTAAGTGGTATGGTGTTTGGTGCGGGCTGTGTCCATTTTAATCGTTTCCCCGCTTGCGCATGTGGTGAGCATCCGAGCACGCAAAATCGGCCCACAGTCGGGTGGCCTCTGGACATGTCGACCTACGGCGGTTCCTTCATCTACCACATGAAGCCTAACTTGATCCACATAGGCCCGATTTAGTTGAGTTTCAGTTGAGCGGTTCGACGGGACGAGTGCCTTGTTGTTGGGTGGACTGCTCACAGGTGCAGGCCCGTCGGCTGAACTGATCCGTGCAGCGAGAAGCAGCATAACAGCGTCGGCGGCAGCTCTGCTGGAGCGGCGCCATGTGATATTCAACAGCGCTTGTGGTCATTGTGTGCAAGGGCAGAACACATTGAATGTGTCTGTGTCGTCTCCAGCGGCATTCGGGCCTGTATATTTCCAATCTCCACCCTCCAGCTCTGGAGAAGACTGCGGTGCCACCCCCCATATGCAGGCATGGTGGTGGGCCTGGGCTACAGCAACCCCTGGATGAGCCCATATCAGGACCTGTACCCACGCTGCGGGCTTGTCCGACTGGCCTCGGAGTGTGACGGGGAGGAGTTAGTTACAAAGACAAGGAAAGGAGGACGAGGAGGAGGAGGACGATCTTCGCGAGGCCGCGAGCTCAGAGCTCCCTCATGCGGCCCAGGGCCGGGGGGAAGGTGCTCCAGGGCATGGCGGAACGCCCTCGGAGCGTTGAGGGGCTCTGTGGCCCGACGCGGCCAAGAGGGGGGGGGAATGTTTACGAGGGAGCGGTGGACGTCTGGCTGGATCTCATGGCCTCTCCTTCTTCTTCCTCGTCTTCTTCTTCCTCTTCTTATTGCTCCTCTTCTTCTTATTCTTCTCCATACTACTATTCTTCCTTCTTCTTTTAATTATCATTAGTATTCGTATTATCATCCGCATTCTTATTACTATTACAGTAACATCATCGTTGTTATTATTACAGTCTCATGTTTAGTAGTTTTATATTACTGATACTACTACTACTACTACTACTACTACTACTACTACTCCTAGTACTACTACTACTACTGCTACTACTACTACTACTACTACTACTACTACTACTACTACTACTACTACTACTACTACTACTACTACTACGACTACGGCTACGACTACGACTACGACTACGACTACGACTACGACTACGACTACGACTACGACGACGACGACGACTACGACTACGACGACTACTACTACTACTACTACTACTACTACTACTACTACTACTACTACTACTACTACTACTACTACTACTACTACTACTACTACTACTACCACTACTACTACTACTACTACTACTACTACTACTACTACTACTACTACTACTACTACTACTACTACTACTACTACTACTACTACTACTATCATTTTGTGTTAGTAATACATTATACTTGTTGGTCTGATTCTTCCCTTTTCTTCATCCTCCTCCTCTTCCTCTCTCCCTCCTTCCTCCAGTGCCTCCCCTGATCCCCCCCTCGGCCGCACGCGTGCCTCGGGCCATGGGCTTGCGAGCCCCCCTCTCGGACGCCCCCCTCCCGACCACCCCCGACCTGGCACGGCCGGGGCGCCCGAGTGCACCCTCCGGGGCTGGCAGGCCTTCGAGGCCCCTGACCTTCAGTGGGGGCCCACGCCAAGAAGCTCCTCCTCCTCCTCCTCCTCCTCCTCCTCCTCCTTCTCCTCCCCTGCGCGGGACGACAGCGTCCCAGACCTCCAACGTACAGCGGAGACACGAGCCGAAAAAACACCCTGCTTGCCTCCAGGGTGCCCTGGGTCTCTTGGGCTTCGCTGGTTTTGCGATGGAAGGCGTGCCGTGCTCACACCAAGCATCGATGGACGTCCTCGGGTCTCAGGGTTGGCTTTCTTGTGGAAGGTTTCTTGTGATCGGGCCTCCACTGTATCCTGGTCCGACTTTGTCCTGGTCCTGGCCTCGGCTTGACCCCCCTGGCCAGGGCCCCTCTCCCCCCTGGCCAGGCGGGGAACAGAAGGAAAGGCGCAGTGACGTTTTGCCCGGCCCGGGTCGGCCAGCATGTGGTTCTTTTGGCACGGCTTCGCGTGAACCGGCACACTTCACCCCTGTTGTGCGCATCCCTGTGGCCGCAGGCTTAAGCTGGGCCGTAGTCAAAAAATAATCAGGGGACGATTTTCTGAGTTCCTTGGATTTGTTTGGGGATGCTTTTTGATCTTTTTCCTCCAAAATCCGCCTGTACGGGGGCATGCCCGACCTTACCGCAGGCACGCATCGTGTGCTGAGCGAGGGCATCAGTGCTTGTCCGTTCCAGGCGCGCGTGATGCGACGTGGCTTTTTGTAGTTGATCCAGGCTGCGAGTCGTGAATGCGCATGGTACTAATTGCACCGCAGTGGCGCCCGCAGGAGTTCCAGCGGTTCAAGCACCATCCTCGTGTCAAGGCGGCATTTTTGCTCAATGGAGTTCGCACTTCTGCTTTTCGTGCAATGACGGACCCTGGTGGTCAGTGTTCTGGATGATATCTCTCCCTCCCTCTCTCCCTCCCTCTCCCTCGCTCTATATCTCTCCCTCCCCTCCGTCTCTCCCTCTCTCTCTCTCTCTCCCTCTCTCTCCCTGGAAACTTCAAGCACCCATTCTATCTGCAACCTCTTAGGGACTTCTCCCGAGTTTTGCAGACATCCCCATTGCGATCGCGGTGCCTGCGCGCATGGTCCAAGGTTTTGCCGCCAAGTCCGTCAAGTACCTGTTGCATGTGCTTTTTTAAGTTTGACAGGGATGATGTGTGTGGCGGAGGGCATGCTTCCTGGTCAGCCGCCGGTCGAGTTGGGGAGGGCGTGTTTGTTACAGGGAGAAGGAAGAGAGAGGTGAAAACCCCTTCCCGCAGGGGAAGAATGAGGTGGAAGAGGAAACGCTTTAGACCACGTTCGACCAGAGGGCTGGTGGGAGTCGCGCCGCACCTTGAATTCCTTTACGAGAGATGCGATTGCACGGTCCCCAGGTCATCCGAAGGCGTTGGTCAGACAAGATCGGGCTGGGCTGGGTCCCGTAGCCATTTTGGCTCAAGCCCTTCTGGCTTGAGGCCCGTGTCGGTTTTGGCCTGGCATGGCGGCCGGAACGCCACCCAGAGGCGGGGCGGCCTCGGTGGGCACCCGCTCCGCGTCGTGCGAGCGCTGGCGGTCGACCGTGGCGAGAGCGCAGGCGGAGACCAGCCTCGACCTTGCCTCGATGCAGCGCGCCCAGCAGCACGCAGCCGTGCTTCCGGAGGTGCAGGGCGGCGAACGGGCTGGCGCTCCGCACCCCGGGCCCTCGTCGCGGAGATCCTGCTGCAGACTTGCCAGCCTCGACCGTATCCCTGTCCCTCATATTGACACGCCAAGAGGCGATGACAATCTTAGGGATCCGCCTTCAAAAAATAAGGGAATCCCTAAGATTGGCATCGTGATGAGGAGGTGCCCAACATAGGGATAGGGAGATGTTCCAGGCTGGTAACAGATGTCGCAGGCGACCGTGGGCAAGGACCACCAGGCCGCGCGCGAGCGGTGCGCGAAGGCGGCGGCCGCCTCCCGGGAGCGGCACGACCGCCGCCAGGAGCTGCTCGAGGGAGTGCAGCAGGGCGCCAGGCGCATCCTGAGCCCGGGCCACGCCATGGAGAGGAGCCGCAGCCCGAGCCCGTGCGCCCTGCGCTCGGAGGCCCTTCTGCGGGGGGCCACGAGCTCCGACGAGAGCGCGTTCGAAGAGGCCGGGGCCCTGGTCGGCGCCAGTGGCGTGGGCCTGGACAGCGACGGGAGCTCCTCGTCCTCGGCTTGCGAGGGCGGCCGCGCGGGTCGCGTTGGCACCCGCAGCGGCACCTCCAGGGTGGACACGCTGCTGCAGGCGCTCCAGATCGAGCTCGCGGACGACCTGGAGCGCGCCGCGAAGTTCGGCCTGTACGAGGCGTACCTCGCAGAGGTGGAGAGCATGCGGGAGATACTGATCACGTTCCACTCGGAGAGTTGCCCGCTCCTTGACCAGCAGGTGGCCACCTGGATGGACGGCCAGCTGAGGGAGGTCGACAGCAGGCAGAAGATGGGGACCTTCGAGACGAGCGACTGGTTTGTGTACCACATGATGCGTCAGGCCCATGCCAACAACTGCAACATGACCTTCAAGCTGGACCTCTGGGAGGAGAAGACCCGCAACCTCTGCGCGGGCGACCCGCAGCCTTGCCCCATCTGCTTGGAGCACGACTCCTGCGACGGGCCCTCGCAGACGCTGGGGTGCTGCCACAAGCCCTGCAAGCGGTGCTGGGGCAACTGGACCAAGCTCATGCACGGGATGGGCAAGGCAGCGTTCTGCCCGAGCTGCCACCGCCAGGAGTCCCTGGGCTCTCTCAGCGCTCCTGCGGAGGCGGCGGCGGTCCGGGCGAGATCGCCCCGGTCTCCATCGCCGCCTGGCACGCAGATCAGCTTGGGACTGCGGACACCCTGTGACAGCGGAGGCGGGCGCTGTGTCAAATATATCTCCAGGTATCTGGACGGGGATCTGGTCGTGGGTGATGAGGAGGGATGGAGGATGCGGATGTGGCTCAGAAGAGTCCAACAGAACCCGTCCGGATAGCTCGAGCGCCCCTGCCATTGTTATATAGAGTTTCGAGCATGTGTCTAGTGACATAGGCATCTTGGTTGCTCATTCCTCCGGCACAATATGCACGGGTTGTTTTTGCAGTGGTAGTGTGGGTTGTTCGCTTGCGTTCTGTACGCCTTGTGCATGTGATGAGCAGACCGAGGCCATGCAGTACACTTGCTCGTTGCCACCTCTCGTCAAGGTTGCGCTTGGACCTCCCGTTAGGTTCCTTCGCAACCTCCCACAGGACATGAATAGTCTTGTTTTATTTGAAGGGTCGGTTGGACCACCTGGGCATGCACATACAGCGCCAGCATCTGCCCCCTGTGCCCCCGCGTCTGTCCTCCTTCCTCATCTGCCTCGTCCCTAGCGGTAAGGCATGCGACTGCGCAACACTGCGGAGGAGATGCTGTTTCGACGCATGGCCACAGAAACGTGCAGTCCAATTCCGTCTCCCCGGCGTGGTGCTTCCTGACGCGCGGGAGTGTTGCCTCTTCGGCGCCAGACCGCGAGGAGTCGGGCGGTCGGTGCCGAGAGGAGTCATGCGGTCCGTTGGGCGTCGGCCGTCCGCAGGGTGGAGTGGGGGGGCTACGGACAATACCGAGCAAGACATGGACGGTCTTACAGCCTGGGCCCTGCAGAAGGAACCCTTTTCGTTGGGGAGGGGCTCCGTGTTCCTTGATTGTTCTACAGTCTGCCTTCTGTTTTCCTTAGGTTCTCCATGGGAAATCGAAGTTCAACTTATGGGAGAAAGGGGCCTCGTTCCTTATTTAGCGTTCCTCAGGTCAACGCCCCCACTGTATTTCCGCAGCCCGCGTTTTTTGTTTTCATGTTTCACCGGAGCAAAAGGCACTGCAAGAGTTTGCCCAGTTCTTGCCAGCCGCGGATTTGTCTTGTTCTCCAGCGCCGCAGACCTGTCCTGCAGTGGCAGCCGACCAGGGACTGAAGCACGTTCCAGAGGCGAGAAAAAAAAAGATCCGGCTGGGCCGGGTGAAATATTTTGGCGAGGACGGTTTTGCCCGTACGGCGACGCGTCGGGAGGAACGGTGGGCCGAGATGATTCGATGTTCCAGGACGCGTTTGTCAGGACTGTGCCTGCGCGCGCTCCATATCGATGCTATGATCTGGTGCCGCCTCGGATCCCGACCCCTGGACGTCCATGGAAGTGCCTGGGCCAAACAAGAAGATTCACAAACACATATCTCAGAGCGTGAATTACCTCCCCCGCTTTCGCTTCCAGGCAAAACCAAGCCATACCACGCGCCTCCTCGTCAAGCGGCCTGACCAGTACAGGCCACAATTTGGCATCGTTTGGTATCTCTTGGAAGCGAGGGTGGTCAAAAGCGAGGTAGGTTTGTTTTCCCCCGAATATCACCCTTTTGCTGCAGAATCCCCGAGAAGCCTTACACGGTTCGCGGCGGGGGAGTGCTACGCTGGGGGGTCGCCTTGGGCCACGGGCCTCGGGAGCCCGGGCTCCTGCACTGGGCGTGAGGAGTTTGACACATAGCCCTTACAGATAAGTTGTCTATGTGATTGGCTCACGTGTATATATATATATATCCATATAAATATAAATATTATTGTACGCACCTCTCCGAGGGAGTAGAGCTCAGAGGCGATTTCCGCGTACGCGGGGCGCCGCGTCCGCGAACCTGCTAGAAGCTGAGCGCGCGCGAAGCGCGCGCGATGGTTCTAGTATATATATATATATATACACACATTGTCTATGCAATGTCTCTATGTGCGGTTGTCTATGTAATTACCGATGTAATTGACTGGAAGAGCGCCAACGCAGCGCCGGGAATAAGAGAAGGGGGGGGCCCAGCTTGCAGCGATCCCCCCCCCTCCTCCCTGGGAAAAGGGTGAGGGGGCTTCCGAAGCTCCCCCCCCCCCTCCCCCCCTGGTGTTGGCATTTTTTAGCTGGGGCACCCTAGCGAAAGGGCGGGGGGGTCTTGGAAGCTACCCCCCCTCCCCCTCTTTTCGGGGCCCAGGGTAAGCCCGGGCTCCCCTTTCCAAAGGGGGGGGGGTTCTTCCGACGCTGCCCCCCCCTCCCCTCATGCTGTTGGCATTTTCCAGCCGGCGGGCCCTGGCTGAGGGGGGCGGCTTCGAAGCTACCTTTCCCTTTTGGGTTTCGGCGCCCCTTTGGTTTTGGGACCTCGCCCTTTTGGTTTTCGGCGCTCCCCTGGTTTCTGGCACCCGTTTGGTTTTCGGCGACCTCTTTTGGTGTCCTGCGCCGTTTTGGTTTTCGGCGCGCTTTGGTTTTCGGCGCTCCGTTTGTGCTCGGCGCCCCTTTTGTTTCGAGCGCCCTTGTGGTTTTCGGCGACCCTTCGGTTTTCGGTGCCCCTTTGGTTTTTGGCACGCTTTTCGTTTTTGGCTCCCTTTTGGTTGTCGGCGGGTTTTCGGCGCATCGTTTGCTTTCGGGGTCCCTTTGGTTTTCGCAGCCATTTTGACTTTCGGTACCCTTTTGTGTTTCGGCGCCCCTTCGGTTTTCGGCGCCAATTTTGTTTTCGGGGCACTTTGGTGTTCGGCGGCCTCTTGGTGTTCGGTGCCCTTTTGGTTTTCGGTGCGCGTTGATTTTTGGCGCCCCTTTGGTTTTGTGCGCCCTTTTGGCTTTCGGCGCCCCTTTGGTTTTCGTCGCCCTTTTTGTTTACGCAACCCTTCGGTTGTCGGCAACGTTTTGGTTTTCTGTGACTCTTTGGTTTTCGGTGTCTTTTGGTTTCCTGCACCGTTTCGGTATTCGGCGCCTTTTTGGTTTTCGGCGCCCTCTTGGTTTTCGTCGCCCTCTTGATTTTCGGCGCCCGTTTGGTTTTCGGCGCCCTTTTGTTTTTCAGCTCTGTCTTGGTTTTCGGCGCTCCTTTGGTTTTCAGCGCCCCTTTGGTTTTCGGCGCCCATTTTAATGACAACCCTTTGATTTGGGTGCCGTTTTGGTGTTCGGCGCCCTTTTAGTTTTTTCGGCTCCTCTTTGGTTTTCGGCTCCTCTTTGGTTTTGGGCGCCCTTTTGGTTGTCGGCGCTCTTTGGTTTTCGGCGTCGCTTTGGATTTCGGCGCCCTCCCTTTTGTTTTTCGGCTCCCTTTTGGTTTTCGGTGCTCCTTTGGTTTTCTGGCGCCCTTGTGGTTTTCGGCAATCTCTTGGTTTTCGGCGCTTGTTTGGTTTTCGGTGCCCTTTTGGTTTTCGGCGCATCGTTTGTTTTCGGCGTCCTTGTGGTTTAGTTTTCGACGCCTTTTTTGGTTTGCGGCGCCTTCGTGGTTTTCGGCGTTCCTTGTGGTTTGCGGCGTCTTCTTTGGTTTTCGGCGCCCTGTTGGCTTTCGACGCCTCGTTGGCTTTCGGCGCCCCTTTGGTTTTCGATTCTCCTTTGGTTTTCGGCGCCCTCTTTTTTTCGGCGTTCCTTTGGTTTCCGGCTCTCCTTTGGTTTTCGGCGCCCTTTTTGATTTCTGCGCCCGTTCGGTTTTCGGTGCCCTTTTGATTTTTGGCGCCTCTTTGGTGTTCGGTTGGTTTTCGGCGCCCTTTTTGTTTTCGGTGGCCCTCCGGTTTGCGGCGCTCCTTTGGTTTTCGGTGGCCCTTCGATTTTTAGCCAAAGGGCATGGGGGGGGCTTCAAAGCTCTCCCCTCCCATTTAGCCCATAAGGGGTGGAAGGGGGGGGGGGAGGGCTTCCGACAGGGGGTCCCAAGGCAAGGGAGGGGGGAGCTAAGCCCCCCTCCCCCCCTGTCGGAAAAAGAGGGGAGGGGGGGGAGGGGGAGTTTCCTGAGCACGAAAGGTGGGAGGAGGGGGGGGGGTCGCTTCCGCAGGGGGGAAGACAGATGGGGAGAGGGGGGCGGCCTCCAGGCAGAGGACAACGCCGCACCTGCGGACGAGGATATAGAGGAAGAGCCCGATGAGGACGGAATGGGAGATTTTATACACAACCGGACGGCATTTTAGCAGACGTGCGTGCTCGCGTCCGGCGACTTGCTGGTGCGATGATGACGAGGACGGCGCAGATCAGCGCCGCCCGACATTTCGTCTGTGCACAGAAGCGCTTCGCAACGGCAGCGGCGGCGACGCAGACCAGCGGGCGTGGGTCGGGCCTCGCCGAGAAGCCTGATGCCAGGTAGTCGTGCGCGAGGAGGCCTTACCAGCCTCGAACTTATCCCTCTTCCCAAGATCGACACGCCACAAGGCGATACCAATCTTAGGGCTGCGCCCTGAAAAAATAAGGGAATCCCTAAGATTGGCATCGTGAGCATAGGGATGGGGATATGTTCCAGGCTGGTAAAGGCCGGCTGGTCAAGATTGCTTGAGGCGGCCCGCCGCAGCTCCGAGTTCCCCAACACCCAAGACGGGGAGGGCCAGGTCCGCCGCCCGCAGCTCGGTCGGGAGAGCGGCAGAGGCGCTGGCGAAGTCAAAGGCTTACAGGAACACGAAGCACGTGCGGCACGGGAGGCCGACGACGACGAGCATGGACGACCGCGGCAAGTGGAGCATCGACCTCAAACCCATCCTGGAAACATCCGAGGACAAGCTCTACCGCCGGTGCATCCGCGACAGGACCTCGGATAACAAGACAGGACATCTGCGTCATCAGTGTTGCAAAGGTCCGGCGAAGCGGAAACAACAGGGGTGCGCCTGCTGCACACGTGGGGGGAAACCGCGGGGGGAGGCGCGGGGCGTGTATGCAGCGCCGCGATTCCAGCGGGATTGACCGTTGATTTGGTTTCGCACGAAGGTCGGTTAGGTTGCTTGCCCAAGGTCGAGGGCCGCGGCGGTACAGGTGCGGCCGCAAGGGCTGTCAGAGATCCACCGTGCCGCACGCTGATCATCCTGTATGGGAGCTGTCACACGCATGCGCTTTGCAAGAGGCAGGTGGCTATTTTGCTCAGCGTCTTAGCAGGGGGTAGCGAACCCACAATTTGCCAGAAGATTCCCTCCGCAAGCCACAAGATCATCGAGAGGATTTCTTACGCCGTCCAGAAGCAGCGTGGGCAGTTTTTCAAGGAACTCGAAGTGACCACCGTGTTCGGCAGTGGCTGCGATCACGATTGGGGAGACGCCGAGGCAGATGAAGCTGTTTTCGGTGAAGCTGCAAGGCAGACGGCCCTGAGAGCGTGGAGTGGGAGCAGTGGGCAGGCGTCGTTGGGCAAGGCCGACCCGCGTCGCTGGCGTTGGTGTAGACCACCGCGATTTGCACGGCGAAGCGGGCTCCTGGATCAGGAGCGATCGGGAGGGTTGATTTGGGGCCCGTTGCCAACCACTTCCTGCAAGGATGGCGTTTCATCCTGCGTTCGGATCGCGCTGAGAGCCACGCCATGCGGGTCGAAGGTGTGCTACACGATTCGGTGCGGCAGTGCAACAAGAATATCAGTAGCATCGGGAAGTGGATTTGGATGAAGCCATGATGCGCGCGCGTGGTAATTCATGAATTTCCGAATGGTAGGAAGTTGCGGACCAGGTCATGGATACCGCCTAGAAGTGTATCCGTCGTGCTCCTGGGGGGGGGGGGGACGCAACGCCCACGAATTCAGAAACACCGGCAACTGCTATCCGCATAGCTCCGTGGCTTTATTGGCACAGGGGCGAAGATCTCTGGGCCGACATGGGGCCGACGCTCTCTTCAAAGTTCGGGCGGAGGTAGATCCATTACTGAGCAGTCCTCGGCAATGTAGCCGCCCTCCGCGCGTCCCCTCTTTGCCAGACACATCGCCTCACCACTCGGACGCCGTAGCTAGACCCATCGAAGTTATCTTCGTTTTAGGGTTTACGTCACGAGGTAGATCTTGGCGCGCGCGCGTGTGTGTGTGTGTGCATGTGTGTGTGTGGGGGGGGGGGGCGCGCGCGCATGCATCTTTAAACCGATATAATTGTACACGTGTGTAGACATGTGCATACCATGAACTTGTAGAGTACCTACAACCAAGCAGAATACATGTTTTTTTTGTACGAGCGCGTCCAAAGACTCCCCTTTTTCGTTTTTCGAGGGTCAAGGGCAAGGTTTACCAGATTGCTGTGTTGAACTTTGCTAGCCACCCTCAGCTGGAAAGTCGGCACGCCTGCCGTGGGGGAAACACGCGGAGGTCGACATGACCCCCACGTGGGCTTACTCGGAGTGGAGGATGGGGGCGGAAAACGGGGGACGTGGAGGGTGGAGCAAGAAGGGGGGAGAGCGAGGGAGGAAGAGGGGGGCTCAGCGTTCCAGGCTGGAACACTGGGGCGAGGAGGGCGGCGTTGGGCGAGCGTCGGCATGGTGGTGGGCGTGCAGTCCCGCCAGGCGATCCTGGAAGGCGGCAAGTGCATCTCGTACGGCGCCCGCGTCCTGAACGAGGGGGGCGTGCAGGCAGTGCCGAAGCTGACGTTCCCCGGAGGCGACTGCGCAAGTGTTTTTGTTGGGTCATCCTTGGTGGCGCGAGGGTGGTCGCGCGGCTTGGGCTGGAGAGTTGCCCTTCCCCAGGGCGACCTCACCAGGGCACGAAGATAACCGCACATCGCGGGGCGCGATGCGCGAAGGCGGCATAGGTGTTTCGGGGTCAGCCACAGCTGGGGCCGGAGGCTTGGGAGCCGTGCGGAGCCGAACCCCCCCTCTCCCATCCTTCCGCTGCCTTGGGTTTGGGAGTTGCATGGTGGCGGTTCTGGATGCGACGCTGTCCCAGCGGATTCGCCCGGGTTAGCAGTGACCCTGGTCAGCCCGTTCCCGGGTTTTCATGACGGAAGGAACAGGAACAGCCCGAGTTTCGCGAATGACGTGCGACGAACTGTTCCGCGCCTTCTCGGCCTTTCGGGCCTGGGAATTCGGGAATTCTCACGGTTCGACCCAGTCCCGCATCGGGGATCGAGGATTGTGCCACGGCGCCAGATGTTGAGGTCGCAGGAACAACAGACACGCGTTGTCCCGCGCATGGTTCCGAGCGAATTGCGAAGGCAGAGAACCGATGCGCAAGCGGCGGGCGTACGAGCACCTTGCGATCGTTCTTGTAATGCTCCAGAGGGGTAACGCGTGCTACCCCCCCAGACCCCCTCCGTAACGGTAGCGCTTGCGAGCCGGGCACAACAGTGAATCTTTGCAGCTTCGAAAGGGCAGTGGAAGGAGTACACAGGCGTTCCGTCGCACGCAGGCGTCGACGCGCACGCAGGCACTGTGGCGTACGCGTACGCTGCGCTGCACATGGCTACTGGTAATGTGCGCAGGCGTTGCGGTGTTCACAGGCACTGGGATGCGTTGTGATGTCCCCTTGGGATGTGGTGTGCGCAGGCTTTGTGGTGTACACGATCATTCTGGTACACGCATGCACCGTGATGTACACAGGTGCTGTTGCGCACGCGGCTGCTGCAGTGTGTACAGGCACTGCGGTGTACACAGGCGGCGCGGTGCTGCGGTGCGCGCGGCTGGTATGTTGTATGGAAGCATTGTGGCGAACGCAGGCGGCGCTGTGTTTCACGCAGGCACTGGGATTGTCGTGTGCACAGGGGCTGGCACGCAGGCGTTGGGCATTGTCGTGTACACAGGCGATTGATGTGCACACGGGCGATTGGCGTGCTAGTGGCTCGGGCTCACCCTGGCGGGTGCACGCCGCGGCCGCCGTTGCCGCTTTTCCCCCGCCCCCCCCCCACGGTAACAGGCGTTACCCCCTATGCTCAAACAAACGACTACCTGGGATGGACTTGAGGGAACGTCCAGTAGTAAACAGAGGGTCTGGCACTCCCCCGCGCTCCTCCCCCTCTTCTTCCTGCTCCTCCTCCTGCTCCTCCTTCTCCTCCTCCTCCTCCTGCTTCCACCGTCCTCCTCGATCCTCCCCTCCGTCTTCTGTTCCTGCTCCTCCTCTGCCTCCTCCTGTGAACTATGAACTGATGGCGCTCGGGTCGTACAGACGCCGCCATCCCCCCTTCCGGGGCACTTGCACCTGCTCCTCCTCCTCCTCCTCCTCCTCATTCTCTTCCCCATCCGCCTCTCCAGTGGGCGGAGGGATGGGGGGAGAAGAAAGAGGATGATGATGATGCTGCTGATGATGATGATGCTGATGATGATGATGATGATGATGATGATGATGATGATGATGATGATGGCGATGGTGATGGTGATGATGATGATGATGATGATGGTGATGATGATGATGGCGATGGTGATGGTGATGGCGATGGTGATGATGCTGATGATGGTGATGGTGATGGTGATGGTGATGGTGATGGTGATGATGATGATGATGATGATGATGATGATGATGCTGATGCTGATGCTGATGATGATGATGAGGAGGAGGAGGAGGAGGCATTGCGCAATTGGCCCTCGGGCAGGCCGCGGGGCATCGCTGAGTCGTCAGCATAACATTGGAAAAAGGAGCACGTCTTTGTGTTTGTTAGCTTCTGGCCGTCTGCCAGAGGGGGCCCGCGAGTGCCGATGGACCTGAGGCGGCACGGCAGCGAAAGAAAAGGAGGGAGGAGGAGGAGGAGGAGGAGGAGGAGGAGGAGGAGGAGGAGGAGGAGGAGGAGGAGGAGGAGCAGAGGGGTGGAGCAGTGCATGGAGGAGGGTGGGGCAATGTGTTGCCCCAGCGCGCCCATCACCCAGCCAGCGCAGGCATGCTTGCAGGATGCAGCGCGGGATTCCTCAACGTCCCCAAGATCAAGGGGAGCCACACCGCCATGAAGACCGGCATGCTCGCTGGCGAGGCGGCGGCGGAGGCGCTGATAGACGCACCCGAGGACTGGCGCCATCGGGCGAGAGCAGGGGGTGGGAGGAGGGTGGCCCAGATTCCTCCTCGTGCCCTTGATCCTCCCCACGCCTTCCTGACATCTTGTCTGGGGTCGAGCCACGTGGCCCCGTCTGGGGTCGAGCACTCTTGTTTTGTGAGGCATGGAGGACCGCTTCCGGTGGGGGGATCAGAAGGGCAATGCCGCGACCAACAAGTTGACACTTTCTCATACTTACTTTCTGATGTTTCGGAAACTTTCACTTTTTAGGCAAAGGGGCGCCCAAGACATCGATGTTGGTTCCGAGGTTCTTTCCGAGCTTCATCCTCACAACGTGTTGTATTGCTCAACGCGGGCTGTAGGCACACCTTTCCAGCGCAGGGCCGATCTGCTTGACTCGCGCTGTGGGGGACCTGCTGGCTGGAGCGGGCTCTTGCCCCCGGCTGCCAAACACCTACTGTGCTCGTGTGTACGCTCGGATTGGCTCGTCAAACTCAGGAGGGGAAAACATCACACAGACACAATTAATCGTCGACCCCCAAGAAAATAGGGGAAAATATGGGAACTGGGCGGGAAGACGAAAACCCAGAAGATATGGGAAAAGATGTAGAGTATTATCTTTTTGATTTGTGTGTATGCATTTGTGTGTCCTGGGGCCCCTCCACAAACTGCGGTCGGCAACTCTTGGACAGCGTGTCGCTCCGCCGGTTCTGGTCCACCACGCGTCGGCGCGACACGCTACACCCTGCGAAATGCTTAAGAAATCATGGGTTAAGAAATTCATAAGTCTCAGAACTTGACCAAAAACCCAGCAATTCGATTCACATCCTTGGATTTGCATGGAAACGTGAAGAATAATCGAGGCTCTGGCCGACAACGTAAGTTTTCTTGAGCATCGCCTAAGGTGTATCCACTTCCGGCCCCCAGGCGTCCACGTCCCGAGCCTCTCCCAGCCTCCCAGCCTCCCAGCCTCTCCTCCTCCTTCCTCCTCCTCCTCCTCCTCCTCCTCCTCCTCCTCCTTCTCTCTCGCGCAGGGCACAGCGCTTCGCCGGCGCCGCCGCCGCAACACGCGCGAAGCAGAAGTTCCCGACCGTGCTGCCCCGACTCTTCGCGCTGGGATTTCGCCAGAAAAGCCCTCGCCTCGACCAGGGCCGCCTCGCTTGGCCGTCCTCTCGTTCGCCGAGCGGTGTGCAAGGGTCGCAGCCGGGCCGCGGCGCAGCCCAGAGCGCTCCGACGCGCAGCTCCCTCGGGGCCCAGAGCGGTTGTGGCACACGTCCTCGCCGATCCCGACCGCGCGGCAGCGTCGGAGGAGACGAGCTGGTCCTGTGACCTTCGAGGCTTTGTCTCATGATCCCAGGGTTTGGCTTACAGTGTGTGAGCCCGCGTTGACGCTCAGAAGGCGGGTGAAGCAACTGGATTTCAACGCGCGGTTGCCAGGTATGCTTTCGCACAATGCTTGGCTCCATGCTTGCGCTCATCACTCAAGTTAAACATGTGGATCTTCTCACATGGTGTCCGGGGTGGCACGTGTCATCGGTGTGCGGTCTGGGAACGCATAGCCCGTGCTGGCGCTCAGAATCAGTGAAGGAAACGGCTTTGCGCGCACGGTTGTTTTTTCCCGCTGTCTTCCAGGTGGCAGGTGTCATTTGTGCGTTTTTTACAGCGCATGGCTCCATGCTGGCGCTCAGAATTCAAGTGGAACAAGTGTACGTATCCCAACCCTCCCTTGGTTGGGTTCTCGTTTTGAATAGAGCAGTGGGATCGCTGGCTCCCTTCTCCTCCTTCTCCTCCCCCCTCGCTCTCCTCTCGGCTCTCGCCTCTCGCATCCCTCTTGCTGGCTGCGAAGTGTGACACCGCCGCCACTTTTGAGGGCTGCTGGGGGAGCAGCCAGCACAGTGGGGCCCCACGCGGACCCAAACGGGACCTTGCCATCCCTGGCGGTCTGCGAAGTATGAAATCGTCGTCACTTTCGAGGGCCGCTGGGGGAGCCAGCACAGCGGGGCCCCACGCGGACCCAAGCGGGACCTCGCCATCCCTGGGGTGTTTTGAGGTGTGAAGCGTTCGGCATTGAGGGCTGCTGGGGGAGCCAGCTCAGTGGGGCCCCACGCGGACCCAAGCTGGACCTCGCCATCCCTGGGGGGGGGCAGCACAGGGGGGCCCCACGCGGGCCCCAACGGGACCCCGCCATCCCTGGGGGGCTGCTGAGTGTGAATCAATCGATACTTGTGAGGGCTTCTGGGGCAGCCAGCACAGCGGGGCCCCACGCGGACCAAGACGGGACCTCGCCATCCCTGAGGGGCTGCGAAGTGTGAAATGGTCGACATTGTCGAGGGCTGCTGGTGGAGCCAACACAGCGGGGCCCCACGCGGACCCAAACGGGACCTCGCCACCCCTGGCGGTCTGCGAAGTGTGAAATTGCTGCCATTTTCGAGGGCTGCTGGGGGTGGGAACACAGTGGTGCCCCACGCAGATCCATGGCGGGCTGCGAAGTGTGAAATTGTCTTCATATTCGAGGGCGTCTGGGGGGGTGGGGCGACGCAGTGGGGTGCCACGCAGATCCAATCGGGACCTCGCCATCCCTGGGCGGCTGTGAGGTATGAACATGTCGCCACTTTCGAGGGCTGCTGGGGGAGCCAGCACAGTG